GCAGAACGTACAACGACTTGTCGCAGTATCCAGTGTTTCCTTGGATACTGGCTGATTATGATTCGGGTTATTTGAACCTTAACGACGTGAGTGCTTTCAGGGACCTGAGCAAGCCCATGGGTGTGGTCAATCCGAAGAATGAAGCCGAAGTCCGGCAAAAGTACGAGACGTTCGAGGACATGTCTGGTGAGTGTTCGTGTTATACGTGAGAGAATGAAGGAGTCGATCGGAAGTACGAAGGTTGTTCAAAAAGTGTCACCAGTTTCCTTCTCCCTTTGTGAATGGGCTTGTTTCGTTGGATAGAGATTGAATGTGATTTCTACCGAATAATTTGATTATTTTCTGACCTCTGTTCTGAATTGTGATCACGTTGTGTCCGGAAAATTAGGTTGAACTGCTATGCTCTGAAATTTTTGATACATTTGCAGACGCTTTTATCGCTTTGCTATCGAAAACTGTGAGCAATTGAAATCCTCATCCAGTAAGTGTAGACTTAATTTTTATCTCATTTTTAATTAAAAACATGGCGTGGAAAAAAATGCTTGAACTATCAATCGACATTCTCGATATATTTTTGAGGTTTGATGGAAACGCCAAATTACGTGATGTGATTCGCGTGAGTTTCACGAAAATTCATGCTCTTCCTGATTATTTTTTAGGAACCGTGCCAAAGTTTCATTACGGAACGCATTACTCGAATTCCGCCGGAGTTTTGCACTTCTTGGTGCGAGTGGAACCTTTCACGTCTCTGCACATCGATCTTCAAAGTGGAAGGTTAGCATTGGAATCATATTTTCAACGATTCTTTTATCCAGAACGATACTCATGCTTCATTGCCGCAGAAAAGCCCATTTTTAATACTTCGAAATTGCGCAAAGTGAAAGCCGGAGATTTTCGTAGAATGCATATAAATCTCAAATGACGCCTTGTCCTTTTTCAGTTCTTGATTGAATTAATGTACTCCGTCGTTGTAAGACGTTGGTGGGTTCGGGGTGAAATGACTGGGAATGGCGACGAATTCGGTTTCGGCCTGTTGTTGCTGGGTTCCGTATGGCGTAGATTTGGGAACGATCGTCAAGATTGTTGGTCCGTCGGTGCGTACGAGTGCAGCTGGAATCAAGTAGCCAATTGTTGTTCCGTATCCATTTACCACCGGCTGGAGCACAACGATTTCCGGGTTGTTGTACGTCGCCTGAAAAAAAGCATCAATGATTATTATATTTCTGTTTGAGAAACAGTTNACGAGAGAGATTCTCAGCAATTATATTTTAAATATTTAATTAATTTGAATCAGTTACCTGAAGGGGTGACGGAGGTCGCAGAAAAACGGTTTCTAAGCCGCTCGTGGTTCCGGTGTCACGTTTTGTCTTTAGGTTTGCTGATGACGTCGGCATCAGCGATGCTGTCAATGCGAGCAGTATCTGAAATTGTATTCATAGAAACCGATCAAGTTTTTTTTTTCCTTGAGTGCCAAATTTTATCTATATTAATCCCATAATATTTCAGCTACTGTCATTGCAGATTAAAATAAATTTTCTGCGATCCCTAATTGCAAAACTGATGGTTGAACTCGCATTGTTTCTAAGCCTAGTTTGTCATGGAATTTTTCGGTACAAATAAAGAAAAACACTTCGAATTCATAATATTCTGAGTCGATTCGCAGGGAAACGAAGACCAAAAATTTGAGTAAATGAATATTTCTCTGCATTATTTTGTTTTCTTGCTCTGCGCAATATCAGAATTGGCGGAAGAATTTTTTGTTGTTGAAGGAAGTAGTTCATGTAAGCTGTAGAATATTCAGATGTTGCTTTTGATTCGGGAGTCCTTTCACTGCACGAAATATTCGATCCACATGAGCACATCGTTTGTTCAACTTCCGTTTTTTAATATTAAAAGTGGGAAAATTTAATTTAAGGAAAGGTTAAGGAGAAAATAATGTTTCAAAAGTTGACTAGATATTGGAAGTTTGCGAGGGGGTCTTAACCCTCTTTAAAAATTCGACAACCCTCGTAATTCAGAAACAGTACTATTTCACTCACCGTTTCGAAAAGCATTTTGTACTTTTTGTTGGATTGTGAGAAGTTGGCACTTGGTACGCAAATTTTGGGATTCTCTGATGAGCACTGATGGTCATTTCTTCGGATTCCCCCGAGTTTATATACTCGGGAACTGGTGTTTTTTTTCACCCCTGAGTTCCTGTGTTATCGCAACAATTGTTTACGATTGAGGGTCCGAGATATCCCCTGGGTTTCAACAACTTGTCTAATTTAGCCAAAGGGCTAATCATGATTTGGGGAGATGGAGAGGTTTTTAGCGTAACTGATTTTCTTGCGAACTGATGAATCGGTCTTTCAAACCATTGATGTTCTGCATTCATCGACGATCCATTCAGAAATGTGATCGCGTAATTTTACTCCTGAAATACTGGCATTACGAATTCCGCGAAGAGCTTTGATTTATCGCGGACTTCGCGATAATTATTTTCAATATTTTGAAAAATAATTGAAAAATGAAACGAAATATATCCCCCGTAAATCTCTGTATTCAAGAGTCTTTGATTCCTGGGAATCGTAATTTTTTGGCACGATTTCATATTTTAGTAATAATCTCCCTCGAATGAGAGTGGTCATAAATTTTGCTAATCGCGTCAAATCCAGTCGCTTCAAGGATACATTTTTATCGTTAGTTTTAATTAGTGGCATCAATTACTGTGGGTTTTGACTGGGACGACTCATTCTTTTGTTTGAAGCTCGCCGAATGTTGTCAGATGCGATTGTCATCGGATGTGTTTATCGGGGCGCGGTCAGGTTTCGAGAGACCTGAGGTAATTTTTATCGATGCATCAGGCAGTTTTTCCGAACCCCAAGGTCGTGTTGATTCAATTTCAGGCAGAATTTTTTTTCTTTCTCATTTTGCTGTGAAATTATGCTTCAAGTGGGTTCTCTGATTGATGCGTGTATTCAGAACTTTTCCTATTCCGCGGATCAATGCCAGAACTTTTTTTATTATTTTAATAATTGGATTATCGTGAAGAAATTCTGAACGATTTCCTGACTCGATCATTGTTTCTTCTAATTATCAAAGCTTTCGCCCTTCCCTTCAGATGATGTTTCCGGGCTGATTTTGTGATTTCCGAAAAGTTCAAATCATTGAAATCAAGTGCCAATTTTGAAAATTCGTGGAATGTCGTGTTAGATTGAGTTGAAAATATTCGCGCTGTCGGATTCATCAGCTAGTAATTCAAAATTGTAATTGATTCTGAATTTAACATCGTTTATGATTTTCGAAATTGTGTGTGGCGTCATTCTTTTTTCATTTTGAAACCAAATTTTCCCCTGATTTTAAAGCGAATAGATTCCAAGCCTATGTTTAGGGTTCTTCTTCACAATTTTTTTGACAGGCTTCATGCAACCTTAAAAAAAAGTATCATTTATTAGCTGAAGTTTTTCTTTGCTGATGTTTCTCAGATCGAATATCCTTCTTTAATGAAGTTTGGATAATTATATCATGAAGGGGATATTAATTCACAATTTTTCCTCATTTCCAGGTTCGATGTTGCTGATCGCCAGTTTCATTCCCTGAAGGGCACTTGGCAACTTCTCATGGAAGGGGGTTCTGATGTGAAAGAACTGATTCCCGAATTTTTCTACTTGCCTGAATTCCTGAGCAATGCCAACAAATTCGATTTGGGGAAACTGCAGAGTGGAGTTCGAGTTGACGACGTGATTTTGCCGCCTTGGGCTTCAAATCCCGAGGATTTCATTCATAAACATNAACTGCAGAGTGGAGTTCGAGTTGACGACGTGATTTTGCCGCCTTGGGCTTCAAATCCCGAGGATTTCATTCATAAACATCGAAAAGCATTGGTTTGTTTCTGTCGTGATATCAAGTGTTATTATTTATATTTTTTGGAAATATTTTGTGCATTTGCAGGAGAGCGAGTTCGTGACGCAGACGTTGCATAATTGGATCGACTTGATTTTCGGTTACAAGCAGAAAGGATCGCCTGCTATTGAAGCTCTGAATGTGTTCTACTATTGCAGGTTTGTGACATAGTCCATTTATGTCCATTCAGTCGTGATATTTGGCAAAAGGTACGTCATCGACGAAGAAAAATTTTGAAATGAGGAAACGATTGCCCCTTTTTTTTATGCTGTAGTTACGAGGGAGCGGTGGATTTGGACGCGATTGCGGATTCCGCAGAAAGAGCTGCAATCGAAGGCATGATAAATAATTTTGGCCAAACTCCTTGCCAATTGCTGCGAGATCCACATCCTCGTCGCATCTCACACGAAGAATTCATCTTCCGCGCGTCCAAAGACTACAAACCGCCGAATCTGTTGGCTTTCACGCAGCACCTGGTTTCGAAAAACTTGCCAATTTCTACGAGAAATGACCCGGTTATCCTTTGTTTCATCCCGCTTCATCAGCATTCACCTGGACGAGCCTCGTTCATTCAGCACTCGGGCATGGACACGTTGTTGACCCTGACGGCGAGTGGGATCGTGGGAAACCATGCCTGGTTGCCGTCTGACAAAGCGAACCCACACGGGTTCTCCTTCTTCAAGGACAATACCATGCATAACCCGAGGAGCATGAAGAGGATCGGTGGTGCGTGTTTCGACCCGTCGTTGGTGTTGAGTGATAAGGTTTTTGCAGCGTCGAATGACGGAAAGACGATTTTCTGCGGAGGGCATTGGGATGGATCCGTCGGAGTTTTCTTCATAAGCAAAGCTAAAATCATTCAAGTCCTTCATCGACACTTGGGTAAGAACATACGATACAGTACTTAGCGACGTGTTACAGGTTCAGATGTTTTTTTTCTCTATTTTTCTTTTTGTATTTATAAAGATTTTTGGACGCATGCATGCTCAATTTTTTCTCATTTATGTTCTGGCTGGAATTTTTAAATAGCATTTCCAACCTGAAATTCCGGGTGAAGCTAGATTTCCAGACAACCTTCATACTTGAATATGCCTTTTCCAGCATAGTGAAAACATAGGTATCTAATTCAGTAAAATCCGGTTATAACAAAATTTTAGGGACTTGAAGAAAAGATTGTTGTATTGACTGTTTTTTAATCAGTATTTTACAAATCAATGGCAGGAAACATTGTTCGAAATTTGACTTGCATTTGTTCAGACTCTTCCTTTTCTGGCTTTTGAATATTTTCCCCCAATTGTTTGAAAAACGGAGATCTTTGAAGAGAATCCAGTCATATTTGGAAAGGGAAAATTTTAGATTTTACCTCCCTCGATAAGGAAATTTTCAACAGGAGAATCCAAACATGTTCCTCCAAAAAGTGTTATGCTAAAATTAACAAGTTTGATGTGATGATTCATGTATAATTTTTTTCAATTTACTTTGTAGTCCTTCTGTTGGTACTTGATAAAAATTTGTTTTGCTTCAAAATACTGTATATGATATTTGTGGTAAAAACCTTTTTATCTGATTTTGTTTTGCCTGCTTCGGTGCGTAGTTTGAAATGGATGGTTCGAAAAGTTAATCAATCAATTATTAATAAACCTGAAAATTGAAAAAAAAAATCTTGGCTGATGCTTGTGTCACCGAAGAATTTCCTTGCTTACCTTCTACTTTTAGTGTTAATTTGATTGGAGAATCCCGAAGTGCCGTCACGTATTTGAAGGCAATTCAACAGTCATTGAGCAGCACGGAAATGAATCTGATCGATGAGGTGATGCAGAGAAATAAATTTTCATCGAATAGTACTCTAAAATGAAACTTTTTGAGAATTACTGTACTGGCAGAACAACTTGTCTTTGGTGTGTGTATACGTGTAAACCTTGTATTAATTTTCGCCTGCGTTCATCTAGATGTCGTGACATGTTTGGCTGTGGATGGAGCAGACTCGCTCCTGATGAGCGGATCGAAGGACACCACGTGTATTCTATGGTCGATCGGACCGGCGAATTCGTCAGCAAATGGACCAGGTGTCGCCTCTGTTGTTGGTGTCGGAGTTGGCGGCACTTATCCGCCAGCTGGCAGCCTTGAGGTGGATCCACGACCCTTATTCACGTTCTACGGGCACGATGCACCCGTGACCTGCGTGTCACTTTGTGCAGAATTGGATATGGCCATGAGTGGTTCAGAGGTTCGCACCAAAGTTTTTCCAAAAATACATCCATCCCCCGATGACGAAAAAAAATTTCGACTCCTTGCTGAATTGTAAACCTGACCAAATATCGTCTAGCCTAGTGAAATGCAATTTTAAAATAATGCTGTATCCTGATGAGAATGAATGAAGAAAAAAAAATGATGTGCTCTCAAATATCTTGCTTTTTAAAAAATGAAAGGAGAGAATTAGTGCATTGCAGTATTTCCCCGAAAATGTATCATGAGAGAGGCTTCTCCAAGTTTATATATAAGCTTTATTTAAGAAAATAAAATCCGAAATAGATGTTCATGTTCGAAATAAATCGTCAGTAACATTTTAGCTGCAAGCCGTGTAATTTTATTTTCAAATGATTAAATTGAGCGTTTACTTTTGAAAAATTGCCCCGGTGCATTTTTGAATCTCCGATTGATACAATTGTAATCGAGACCCTACCTTCCCTTCATTTTGAAGTATTGGATTCCTGATCAATTCTTCTTGCCTTTCAAGGATGGAACCGTAAATATCCATTCGATACAAGACGGATGTTTCATGTTCTCTCTTATCCCGCCGACTTACGCGAACATGTGCGGCCCGGAAGTGTCTCTGCTGGCAATGTCATCGATGGGCTACATCGCAGTTTACTTTGAAGAGAAGGTATGTCCCAAGAATTGAAACTACAGTACTAATTTTGTAAATAGCGAATCAGTATAGTCGAGTTTGTACTGTACTCAGAAATTCTTATCAAAGTTTGCCAGAAGAATTAAATTGTGAAATTTTCTAGAATTATCATCAATAACCCCTGTGGATTTCTTGCTTAACCACTTCAGGTGCAGTGGCTAGATGTCAAATTCAGAAAATAATTTTTTTTTCGATATCTGTGTCCAAAATAAAATTTCTATGTGATACAGACTTCCACTAGGTTTTTTTATAACCACTTTCGTACAAAACTTTCCTCTGCATATTTTTCTAAATTAATTTTACATTTTGCTTCTGCCCAGACTGGAACAAATCGCCACTTGGATATTTATTCGGTGAACGGAAAGCATTTGTTCGCGCATCGACCTCAGCATCCAATTCTGAGTATGGTTGCTCGAGGTGACCATTTGCTGACTGGAGACATTGCTGGGATGCTCTCTATCCGGGAAATACACGGGTGAGCTAAATCTCGAAATCTAATTTTTTCAGCATCAAAGAAAAAAAATTTTCTAATTTTAGGTTGGCATTAATGAGCATGATGACGTTGGAAGCACCAATGACGTCGATGTCATTTGCCCCCGGGGCAACGCATCTTTTGGCATCGCTGACTGACGGCAATGTTGCCGTCATCAATGCCCAGTTCTTCTCGTCTTCCTGAGTTTCCATCGATAAAAGCAGTGAGCCTCAAGAGGAATGCGAAAACATAAGCTGTGGAATGTAAAAGATGTATTTGATGTCCGGAAGGTAAACTGTGCAGTGAGAAAAAAATTAGTGTACTTCGCATATTTCGGAGCTTACAGGTGTACCTTGCGATCAAAATTTCTTTGAGAATGTCAAGATTAACAAGGTGTTCTTCGAAGTAAGAAAAGACGAAACTTTCTCCTCAAACACGAACGGCCAATCGGGAAAAGCGGAGGCATTTTCTTTTTTTAATTACACTTCTGAATTTATGTGAAGTCTATCCCGGTTCAAAAATTACAGAATTTCTCACTGCACAGGAAATTTGTTGAACAATCTGTACACGTTTACGAAGCATACATTTAATGCCTAAAAGAATCTCCGCAAATTTTTGATCGGAGGCTTGCTTTGTTTTTCAACTAAGGAATCCTGATTCAGCGTTTAGAGTCCGGCCATTTTGAATGACCGATGAAATAATGATTTTGGATTAAAGGAATTGGATTTACAATAAGACCGTGAGCAGTATCTTCGTGCGGATATTTTTTTTCGTTTCGGAGTTGAGATGTGCGTGTTTTAAAGTGGACCGGCTCAGGGAGTGGATTTTCTGAAGTTAGCTGAAGTGTGTTGACAGCGAAGAAAACAACTGAAGGTTAACTAGTTCGACTGTCGAGTTTAAAAGGCTTAGACGGGATCAGTGGTTCCAGTGCAATTGAGAATTGCCGTGATTCAGTGGCTGCCTGTTTTAAAAGAGTTTTTGTTTTTATAGACATTTACAAGGGATATTAGGTTAGTTCAGCGCTGACCTTACATGACGTAACAAAAGATGTTGAGTTATGTCAGCGTGTGTTTTTATCGTGATTGTGCAGAAGGAATCGTGACATCGGTAACGGGAAAAAATCGGTATTGGTTCAAGCGCAATTTTTTTGTTTTTGTTTGATTGACAAAACACTTTTTCATGCCATTGAAGGCTTCTCGAAACCTTGATTGTGTTTTTTTGTAATTGATTGTGATTTTGGGTTTGTTTCTGGCACCATTCCGTTTCCGTGATTTTTTTGTTCGGTGAATCGTACAGCGGTTGTATTTCGTCAATTATTCTGTCCAGAAAATGTCAGTGTTAGCGAAATCTCCATTCCAGAATGTTCATGTGGGGCAACTTAAAAGTTGGCTCATTTTAGTCCCCTTTTCCAAGATTGTTGACGCGTGGTTGGAATACAGAAGTATCTGGTTACTTTGTCAAGTTTTGAGTTGACAATATTTTTTTGCCGAGCTTGAGTGGATTATTATTATGTATTGTGTCTCCGTTTTTTTTACAGAGTTTAGTGATCGATTGTTTCCGCGCCTGATTTGAGTGATTCGGTGAGTTACTGTCTGTCATTTTTATAAAAATAATCGTAAAATGTTAAAAAATTAATTCAGCTATTAGATACAATAATTTCTATGATACGACTTTATGGGATGTTCGTTAAAGTGATTTGCTGATGAGTTATCCAGATTTTTCCTCCCTGAGTGTGAGTTCGAAATTTGATCACATGTAAAAGCAGAAAAATCATGATTTAAACGGAAAGTGTTGGAAATAATCATGCAATTTTCTTTGCTGGACGTTCTTGAAATTTACGTTATGTTCAAAATATTGTTCATAATTTTAATTCAACTTCGAAGTGTCACGAGTCTCTTTTTAATTCATTTTTCTTGCGATTTAAAATCTGTCGTGAAATTCAATAGTAAGTACTGTACATTTTTTCTCCGTCGTGTGCAAAAGATTATCTGATACGTTTTAGAACTCTAGAATAATATGCGTCTTAAATTGCCCGAAAAAAATTTTCTTACTTTAATGTGGGCTTCATAATTTCAATCTTCTCCAAAATTGACATCAGTCGAAGTGTAAATGAGTTGATATTTTTTGTGTCGATGTCTTGTAATTTTCACAGTTTACATGGATGACTCAAATATGCCTTCGCCAGCCAAAGTCTCCTCGACAGCCGTTAATCCTGACACCAACATTCAAATGAATTCTTTCGGCCATATTCCAATGTCAAGTCATGGAACATCAGGTGCCTCTGGAGCGCAGGTTAGTCGTAAAAATTTTGACTAATAAATTCCGAAAATACATGCAAAAAATGGGTTTATGCTTTGAAAAGGTTCTGACACGGACGAGACTTCAAGACTTGTTGAGAGAAATCGACCCGAATGAGCACCTCGACGATGACGTTGAGGAGGTACTTCTGCAGGCCGCTGACAATTTTGTGGATGACGTAATATCTCGTGCTTGTGATCTCGCCAAACACCGAAAAGGAACGACTCTTGAGGCACAAGATGTTCTTCTTGTCCTTCGTGAGTTGAAATTCGTTCATGTGTTGCTTTTACAGGATTTTTAAAAGTTTTGAAACAAAATTTCTCTAACGATGAATGTGAATGTATCGCACCTTGTTCGCGAAGCAAGAATTGTGGAGCAAAATTATTCATTCTTTGGTAGCTTGGAAAGCGTTCTGGCATTGGTTTCCAATTTGCTCGTTGATTGATGATTGTTCTGAGATTCTGGAGTGCGATGTTTTTTTTCAGAGCCCGAAATAATTTCAAATCGCATTCTCTTTCGTTCTCTCATTTTTGAAGTTGTTTCCGATAGTCGATATAGAGAAAAATAAGGTTCTTAAGCGACAATTGCGGGAAAGCTGTTATTTGATCATTAAAATTGTAAAAATTGATCAAGCCGTGTGAGACATCGTGTGCTAATAACTTTTACCGTACATCCGTACTTGACCTGCTTTTATTTTCGCAGAAGGGCAATTGAACATGTGGATACCTGGTTACGGAAGTGCGGAAGAGCATCAAGTGCCAAAAATGCCATCGCAAAGCACCTCCGAAGCTCATCGGCAGCGGATGGCGTTAATTCGAAAATTCTCAAAGAAGTGAAGAGTTTCCATTCCCTCGGATTTGGCTTTAGTGTTATACATTCCGAGAATGTTTGTGTGAATGCGAAGCGAATTCTATATTTTTTTCACTGAATAAAGGTGCTTTTTGTGCATTTCCGGAGTTCAAATTTAATTTTTCATTATCTCTTTTGATTGATGCAGTGTTTGTTTTTTTTCCCCGCCAACGAAGGAAGGTTCGTAAAACTTGGAAAATGGTTTAGTTCAACCAGAGCTGAGATCTACGCTTTTCCAGAAGTCTCAAAGGATCATTTTCCCGTCAATGCTGCGAAAGAAAAGGTTCCATAGAACATATTTCGAGGTTATTTATGTGGCCTTTCGTATTACGAACTGATTTTTGTTTTATGTGTACGTGTTTTTTATGCGGAATTATTTTCTTTTTAGATCTACTCACCTGCTGGCGAATTTTCTCGCGGAAGAGGGGGATTCCAGATATGAGACGAGACGGGCAGGAAGGAAGCGATGAGGACAAAAATCGCGGAGGAATTTTTTGCTCCGTTTCGGTTAGCAGGTGGGTCATTTGTGCAATTATGGCTGCCCCGCTTTGAGCAAGACAAACGTATTCATTTCGGACGGGGGATTTGAACCCATTTTTGCGGCTCCCCGGTTTTTTTCCCCTCCCATTTTGGAAGCGGTCGGAGGTATTTACTGACTGCGTCTTTCTCTCTCTCTCTCTTTTATTTTTCCGCAACCCGGGGTAATTTTAAACCCTGAGAGAAACATCACTAGCTGTCGGTTCATTACCTCCTAGTGGTTTTTTCCTGGGTTCCTTCGCTAAATTTTTTCCTTTCTTTGATCTTCCGCGGGGTTTCTCGCGCTGCGATGACAGTCTCGTGTTCTGTTTTAAGAGACTTATTTTTCCCATGCCGAAAACTGAATATATTTTGAGAGGATATGTTTCTGGAGAGCA